GGTAGATCTGGAACATCTTCACAAAAACCGGGCTCCTTGCGGGTAGAGCTTCGGCTCGGGAATCACACTTCTCGGGAACTTCGGGGCCTCGGGACTTGCATCGGGGCACGGGAATGATACCGGGGCTTCGGGATAGTTCTTGAACGAAAAATGATGCAAAAACGCGAGAAAATGGAAAGAAATGAGCAAAGAGGTCGGTTGCCCTCGACACCCTTTTATAGGGGTTGAAAGGTCGATTTACGATGGGCGTAAATCCTATTTACGCTGGGCGTAACGACGATAAGATCGCTGACTCCCCCCTTCGGATAATATCGGAATTTATATATAAATTAAATATCGAAAATATTTAATAAACTTCAAAAATTCATATCTTCCTCATACAAACTCCGTTTTCGATGTTTTTTTATATCCCCGCGTAGGTGAGACTACGCTCTACAACTTTCGTTTAGACTCCGTCAGCTAATTTTGACTTTATTTTTTATTATTTATTTTTAGTAGGCCGGGACAGGAAAACTCCGTTATAAAATCATAACTTCTTTATCCGACGTCCGTTTTCTCCTATATTTTAATCGTTTTACTCCTATTAACGAGACCTTCAATTCTCATTTAAATTGTTTCGGCTAAAAACCGCTCGGTCTCAAATCGAGCATTCGGGCTGCATACCGCTAAGTCGAAACTTCGAAAAATTATAACTTCCTCATACGAAGTCAGATTTGGGCGTTCTTTTTTTGCACGCTCATGGTTTAATGTATTCTACGTCTTTCATTTAGATTGCTAAGGCTAAATATCGCTCTAACGTAAATTCACTTTTTACGTCGCGCTATGTCGTGCCGGTTCTATCGCGAAACTTCGATAGGTCATAACTTCTTCGTTATAACTCGGATTTCGGCGTTCTTTATATGAAAGGAAACCTTGTAACATATACTATAACTTAGTTAAGATTATTCATTATAAATAATCTTTCATCAAAAATTCATTTTTGACGCCTATCGTCTCTAAATTGACTAGCCCGGATCTACGGGCGTTACATAATCATTGCTGGATTTATGTGTTTATATGTTCTGATGTTGAAACTTTGGAAACATGGCTATGGTGATCTATAGGTATCTGTGTTATTTGAGCAGAAAATGGCACACTTGGTTTTGTGGATGTTCAATGAACATTTATCTTGGATGTTAAAGTAAAATCAATAGTGAGTTGCTGTAGTTATTAAATGGAATAATGTGATAATAATTAATGTTTTAAATTATTGATAAGCCAACTGAATTGTACTAAATTGTGATCTATTCATGATTGAAAGTCAAAAACAGTTTTTTGTATTTCATTTTTTTTTGTAATGTAGTTATATAATGTTAGTTGTATTTCATTGTTATGTTAATCTTCAATAAAGACTATAAAAACATGGTAGTGTAATCTAATCAAGATTGAATATAATGGTTTTGGTGGAGAAGAAAACTCTACACAACCACTCAAAGGTCACTATGAGGATAGATCAGATGAATATAAAAGTGACAATGAATCGGTTGAAAGTGTTGATGATTGTGATGGTAATGAATTTTTTTAGCGTTAATGTTTTAATTATATATATATATATGTATGTATACACACACACACACGCTCACACACACATACACATTTAATTAAACTTGAACGATTGTGATCATGTGCAGAATCTGATTTAGTGAACGAGTGCGTCAACAATAACATCTTATATTCACTAGGGTGGATCTTCTAAGTTGTGGAAGCCTAGTGTTGCGAAAGAATTTATGCATGATTCTAAGGTTACCTTTGAATCACTAACACATGTAATCAATATGTATAGAAAAGATGCATAAAATCCTGGGTTTGATATTCGGTTGAACACAACTTCAAGGTTTCAACATGACAAATCAATAAAGATAAAGTATGTTGTTTGCAATCGCACTGGGAAGATACCATATAAAAGCCTGAATACACTGGATACAGAAAATGGTGGAAGGAAACATCTAAACTCAAACTTTATTGTAACAGATTGTAAAGCATTGATAAAGTTTGAAGGTGTTAGTATTGGAATAAATAAGTTCTAGATTAGAGAGTTTCAAGAGCTGCGCAACCACCCTATTTATACCACAGAAGAGCGCAGACATTCAAAAATGGATAAAAAATTAAATTATGGAGACAAAGAGTCTATTATCCACGCACCAATGGCAAACGTTTGTGCAACAAAGGCACATAAACTTCGTGATATGTTAAAAGGTGGTTATGAGTGTGTTGGGCCCAAAGAGAGTGATTACAAAAATTTTAGAAAAAAATTGGGTAACATTATAGGAAACAGGGATACGCAGTTGGTAATGAATAAAATGAATGAGAGGAAAAAATATTTTTCAAATTACTCTTTTAAGTACAAATGTGTGGATAGCGTGTTAAATGCTATGTTTTGGGCCGATGAAACAGATAAGGTATTCTAAAGGGAGTTTGGTATGGAATTAATGAATAACCACTGTTCGTATTCAGGTATGGAATGGTATTTGTCCTTTTTACAACTATTGATAATCACGAAAGATCTGTTACTGTTGGTGCTGGCCTATATAGTAATGAGAAAATTGAGTCTTATCGTTGGTTGCTTGAAGCTTTTTTAAAAGCTCATGGAAAAGAGCTAGTGTTGGTGTTAACAGACCAGGATCCAACGACTCTGCAGGCAGTTGAAGCTGTATTCCCGAACGCCAAGCATAGATTATGCTTGTGGCATATAAAAAAACTACAGGCAAAGGTATGTTTTTTGGTTAATTGCATTACATGTGGTGAGTATATAATCAAATATAACTTTTGTTGATGAATGTAGATTTGTATGTCATAATGTATGGGTATTTTGATGTATAATAAGAATATGTGTTAACCACTGAATGGTTGTGTATCATGTTAGAGGGGATATTTTGAAAAACACAGATTTCTAAAACACTTCAACAAACTAGTATGAATATATATGGATTCGGTGGAGTTCAAATCTGCGTGGAAATCATTGATGAAGGACCATAATCTGCAAGATAAACAATGGTTTGAAGACATGTATCGTAGGCGGACTTCACAGATACTAACTTACTTTAAGGACATGCCAATGCATGGACTGAGGAAAACAACTTCCAAGTCTGAAAGTGCAAATTCAGTTTATAATAAGTATATGCGTCATGGGAATTTCCTTTTGTATTTCATGGTTAACTATGACACGACGATTGGAAAACAATGTAACATGCAGCATCATCTTGATAATGAAACTAAAAGAACAAAGCATCAATTTGGGATGGGCACAAGATTAGAGCAACATGCAGCAAAGTTGTATACAAATACATTTTTTGCAGAAATTCGAAACGAGATATATAAAGGAGCTTGGAACTGTTCAATTGATAGCGTAGAAAATATTAATGGGTAGCAAGTAGTTATGATTACACATTTGGACAAAAGAAGACAAATGAAGACAAAGTGTAAGGTTAGTTCCTAAGATTCATCTAAATGTACAAGCAGACGTAATGTTAAGACGAATGTAAACACATGAATTGAAAACAAAATGTTTCTCAATGACATTGTATTTGTTTAAATATTTGTTGTAGGTTGAGTTGAAGTTGCCAAAAAAGGAAGTAAAATGTACATGCGAACTCTTCAATTGAATGGGAATTTTGTGTCGACATGTGTTTTCAGTTCTGAAGAATAATCATATTGAGGAGATACCAGAGCAATATATTCTACGGAGGTGGAGAAGGGATATTATTTATAGCCATTTGTTGGTCAGTAAGAAGGGGCTTGTTGAAATGGAAGATGAAACTTTTAAACTGTTAACCGAAGCATATAGTAACATAGAGTACTGTTTGGAGCATATTCAGAAGGATAAGGAAAAATTAAAAGCTATTGTGAAGAACACACACACACACACACACGATGAGGAGGGTTTTTGAGCAAGATCTGGTTAATACTATTGGATTGGATGAAAATAATGAAGTTGTGTTGAGGCTATTTGGGGTTAGTATTCCAGACCACATAGAAATTAATGTCCTCCCAGTGATACATAATAAAGGAAGTGGTACTAAGAAACAGATGGTTAGTGTAGTTGAGAAGGCATCCGCATCTTCAAAAAGTGGTTCACAAAAGTGCACAGGATGCAACTTATATGTGAATCATAATTGGAGGACTTGCAAAGAAGGAATTGTGCATGAGAATTCCAAGTGTAGTTAGGAGAAGTGTTAGTTTAGTGATGTTTTGTTTATAAGTTCTAGTTTAGTATCTATGGTATGAGTTATGTTTGAATTGATGCAATGGATTTTTTCACTTGAATAATAAAAGTTTGATTGATTTATGTTGACTTAGTTTTTATCGAATAAGTTTTGGTTCAATGTATTAGAGATAGTACGATGTTGGTGATGTTTTTGTCAATTGTATACACCAATGATATATGATGAGATGGTAATGCGTGTGTTGATTATGTATATGAATCATGGATGATGATAGCATTTGATGCTGGTGATGTTTGTATTGATTGGGTGTGATATTAGAAAATGTTTAAGCTAGTGCTGGTTTAGTGGTATAAATTAAAAAAGAACAAGGCTATACATGTTAGATGTGTAGTGTTCTATGAGTTGGTTATGCACATCGTTTATGATGTTTTTATATGACAAACCTAAGTTAGGTTATAAATAATAAAATCATAGTATTTTAAGTCGTACCACCCGTTTATCCTATTATATAAAAGTTTAAAACATTAATCCAACATGTGAAATACAATGGGTATGTAATAAAAAGGCAGCAACAATACTCTAGGACATCAGTTTCGATCAATAATAACCACATCATACAATCAAATTTTATTAATAAAAACCATTTCATATTAGATAAATCCAAAAGGAAAGTACATTATCAAAAAGCAAAATAAAGACAGATAACCGACATTGTTCCATCTAAATACTAGTGTAAAAGCAAATAACCTAATAATCTTCCCAAAACTTTATAAAAAAGACTTTATAATTAAACATTATTTAACCAAATTCAGTCAATCTGTCGTGAATCCTGGTTGCAACATCTTTCAATATTTGTTTTCGATTTAATGCGTGAAGCTTTTGGAATACTACGACCTGCTGAAGAATTGAATTTTCAGCATGTTGTAGTCAGAACTATTTATTTTGCACAAATATATAACCTTTACTCCAGATAATTGGTTGTCCTCAATTGATCCGTTCACCAAATTGACATTTTCCACATTGTCATCCTGTGGTATGTAGGGGTCTTGAAGTTCACCAGGACCAATTACACCATTTCTAATTTCATATTCCTCATGCAAACACACAATTTCTATATTCCTGAAACATATAGCAGGTCTTCCACGCTCGATCGTAACAACATCATAAGAAACATGCTCCAGGTATAGCAGCTTAAATGTCAAGAAAAAAAAGTATGAATAAGTAATTAGTGAATAAGTAATATTGTTTTAAATGTTAACTAATCTATGAAGAGTAGACTTAATGTATTAAGTTAGGTTGTATAATAAGTACCATCAACAGGTCAATAGGACCAACATAGTAAGATGTATCGCTCATTGGATTCCATGCATGTTTTGTATCTTTCAAACACTGTAGCACATATGAACACCAATCTATGTCCCTTAAATCTAATTCCTATGAAACCTTTGCAAGCATTGAAACATCACATGTGCCCCCAAAATTGTTACAAATGAGCACCAAAAAAGTTAATTTAAAAAATAAACCAATATCTTTTAATCTATCAATCGCCCTTTGAATGCCTTTGGGCCAAATATCATTTTATGACTTGAACTGTGCAAAACAGAAGTCAATGGTTTTGTCTTGAGCGGGTCTGAGTTTTAATGAATTGAGATTGATATTTCCCAAAGGGAGACCCAACGTGTCATGTATCAATTGCCTAGTGATTGGTATCTCACCCCGCTCGGCAGTAAGTACCATTTGTTTAGGGTCAGAGTTGTTGACTGCAGAGTACCCAATTCGTGATGCCGACCCATCTACTTTTATGTTTAAAAGGGGAACAAATCTAATTTAAGATATATATATATATATATATATATATATATATATATATATATATATATATATATATATATATATATATATATATATATATATATTCCTTTTGACCATTCGTCAGACCATGCATTGTGGAGAATAATATGTATTCACCTTAGCTGTATTGGAATATCCACATGGACTCCCATCTTTGACTTTCTATTTTCCAATTTCTTGACTTTGATTTTGGTTTTAATTGAATGAACATTGGCCACATCTGCTCTATCTTTCTTCTCCTGATGTAGTAGCACTTTTACTTTTACAAGTGGAGGTGATTTACTTTTATTTTGGCTAAGGATTAGATTTGGGTCTTCAAAATCATAGTCATCATCTGATGAATTAAACCAAATTTTTTTAATATCTGTATTTTTTTTAAGAAAATACAATACATCATTCAACTAGAAAGTTAAAAAAATCAGTATTAATGAGTTACCTGATTTTGTATAACAATGTACAGGTGAATAGGAATTGGAATGTGGATCGCATTTGTGTTTTGCACGATTTTCACGATGCATTTCATCATAAACATTTTGTCCCGAATGTTGACCTTGTATTGCTACTGATGCATAAATAAAAATAATGAAGTCTTTGCTTTTGGTATAATAACTTATTCATGAGATAATCATAATAGTAATAAAATAACCTTCTCTTTGAATTGGTTTAACGGTTGAACCATGTTTCATGTTTGACCCTTGAATTGGCTCTAGGTTTTGGCATGTTTGGCACTTTGGTAGTCCTAATAGAATCAGATGCACCTACATCCATATCTATTAATATTGGATTTGAGGGATCGTTTTTGAATTTCATAAGTGGGTAACTGTTATGGATGCACTCACTTTTCATGCGCCCCAGTGTAATACATAAATTATTAACACAAATATAAGTACAATTGAATTGTTAACTAACCCCATTAACATAATGCAAACCAAATTATATGAATAAAACATAAATAAAATACATTTATAGTCAATCGTTGGTGAATAAATGAAGTGCAAAGAAGTTAACAGGGAACATATAATTCAGAAAATTGGCAAAAAACATCCTTGAACAAATTTACAAAATCGAACCGTATACATTGCAAACTCATGTAAATCATTGAATACCAGTTGAAATTAACAGTATATTGATGCCAATAACCCCATTAACATAATGCAAATTGAATTATATGAATAATACATAAATAAAAAACATTTATAGTCAATCGATGATGAATCAGTGTAGTGAAGACAAGTTAACAGTGAACATATAAGTGAGAAAATAGGGCAAAAAACATCCTTGAACAATTTTAGAAAATCGAACCATATACATTGAAAACTCATGTAAATCGTTGAATACTAGTTGAAATTAACAGCATATTGATGCCAATAACGAATAAAAAAAATCAAGAACTCTGTAGTGTAGATTGAATCGAGTTTGTAATACAAATGAGAGTAAAGAAAAGATTTAGAACACACAATCTAAATATAATCTGGTTGGCTCAATATATTGCTTTCACGAAGTACATATAGGAAATAGAGAATACAAGTTGTTCTTCAAAAAGCACACTCTAACTCTAGTACTCATCTCATATTTATAAGGATCAAGAAAGCATACAAAAAATATAAGGGACTAGACATTACAATTTCGAAACATAAATGCCCTTATAATAAATTAACATACTGACATTCGACGCTCGGAATGACTTAGACAGTTTCGACACCTCACAATAATATTCGATCCCAACATTCTCCCCCTTTGTGAGAAGTTTTGAATCTAAGACATTATCATCTGAGTTGCTTGGTGAATAACTCTTCGAACTCCAGCATACCAATTAATCACCTTTCAAATTTAAGCCTTTTCTTTATCATTGTTCTTGGCACAACTGTTCATTCGAACCATAAGATTTGTATAATAAGGCATGGTATACCTCTCAACGTCACATACTTGAAACATGAATTTTGTGTTGTTTCCCTTCTTGTTTTTTCCAATAAACACAATTCCGAGAGGTTCCAAGAAAATCTCTCCATCTTCATAGTTTTTCAAACTAGCCTGACTTTTTAACAAAGATTAGGGAACTGTGACCTAATTTCCCAATGCCAGAGCTAGCTCAACATCTGTTAATGCCAAAGAACCATAGTATCCAACAATAAAGACCTTCAAGTAACCAAAACCAATTACAAAATATTCTTGGTTTGTCACTTGTAGCTTCAATACATCAACACTCTTCAGAATCTTTGCAAAAACAGTGAATCAGGAAGATTCATTAAGGGGAAGTCTGCAACCAAGAAATCAAATTCAATGTTTTTAGCTTAGAATGCATGATATCGGTAACTCTGCAACCTACCCTCAAATAGGACATCTTTGGATATATTAAGAACACGAACTATTTAGAATAGAGACCATATTTCCTCCTCCCTTTTTCCAAGCATTGCATGGAATAGGAACTTCACGCGTTTAAACTCAATTTTGTCTTTATACTTTTCTTCTACTTCAAACTGCTCATCCAAGAACATCATCTGATTGATAGGAAAGTCCAACTTATTGAAATCAGTGTTCTCTGTATCATAACTCTTCTTGGGGACTTTTCCAATCACAATACATTTGGTTATTGGTTTTGTTATTGTTGTTGTAGTTGACATTGTTATTGTGGACGTTTTTGGTAATGAAGTTGGAATTTGAGTTGTCAAAACTTTTCCAACAACATTTGCATCATCATTTGTTTTCCCGAACCACTTCCTCCTACACCAACTTTTGATACAATGGAAACACCACCCTTGTCTCCCCCTTACACTCCTGTGATTTAACAGACATAGAATTACTTGGCATTAGGTTGATAAGCTTTGCTAGTGGAGCAAGTTCCTTTTGTATAGTGGACTCCAACAACTGAAACTTCTTAGAAAAAAGATGTGGAGTAAATAGGATACAAACCCAGACTTCAACCCTAATCCCTTCAATTCAACCAACACATTGTCAATATTCCCAAAACTTGTAACTTCATCTTCTAGAATCTTCTCAACCTTCAGAAGAAGAGAATGATACCATTCCATAACTTTAGCAACAACATCAACAATAATATCCACCTTCTTGTGAAGAGAAGAATAATTGTGATCCAATGCTACAATCTCCTTCGCCATATCTACTCGCAATTCTTCAATTTTCAAGTTGACATATTCTCTAACCTTTTTGACATCTTGAATGAACAAAACATGTCTTTCCCTGACAACAACTTTTAAATCTTTTAACTCTGCATTAAAGGAAGAAGACTGTGCTTTCACCCTCCTTTCATTAGTCTGATCAAGCAAGTCAATTGAATCTCGAAGTCGATGCTCTTGAGCCTTTGGCATTACAACAACCTCAATACTAGACACATAATGCTTACCCCTGCATCCGCTTGAAGTTGTAACAAAGATTTAAGCTTTCGATTGAGAATTTAATACTGTTTCCCAAACATCAACATATGATCGAGAATATTTTATTCTTCATGATCAAAGGAAATATCAGCAAACGTTCCCACAAACTCACTGTCTTCAGTGGTGTCTTCCTCTTGAACAGTTTTGAGTTCAGTGGATTGGGATGAAAATAGAGAAGTGACAGGTTTATTAAGTATGTTTTCAAAAGTAAGTAAGTGGGTAGAAGTGGAAATGGTTGAGTGAAATGGTGGTAGAGATGTAGATGTATTAACGTTAAATGTTTCTAAAGTAGATGAGGTAATGAAAGGAGGATTACCTTGGGCTTCGTTATTCAACACTCCATAACCCTCCCTGACATTTGTGTCCATATTAGGTATGTTCACAGGGATGCATGAAGTTCAAACCTCCTCAGAAACTGATCCGGCATTCGAAACTCTGGGTGGTAGACTATCTGCTCTGGAGTGCATTGATTCGCATGTTCACTTTGAGTAGTGGTTATGTCCACATTTCATAGAGCCACCAGGATTTCCAATATTTTCGAAATTTGACTTGATTAGAGAATCCATCGTTGGTGAAGGAACACCCATATGTGTATCATGAAGTGGCGATTCAGGAACCTCTTCGTCTAAAGAATCTTCAACAGTATTCCTTCTCTTCTTCTTAGAAATCCTTTTCTCCAAATCCTTAGCAATTCACTTTTTAGAACTAGGAGACACATGGGTTGGAATCTCGCAAATAACACCTCCTTGGCGATTTAGCTGAGGCTTGTGAGTAATCTTCGATATGCCTTTTGGCAAAAAATTGCTAAATCGCTCTCGTGAATGATGAGGCTTGTGAGCCACTTTCTTTAACCTTTTCAATACACCGGATTTCGTAGGTACAACTTCTGTGATAGGTGTAGAAGATTCTTCAACAACATGCTTAATGACCTTCGTTGAAGGTGGATCCAACTTAACAACCTTCTTTAGAGTAGCTTTAACAACTGTCTCCACTTTCTCAAGACTGGGTTTCGTAGGACTACCCATAATTGCCTTCTTGGATTTGTTGTGCTTCTTCGATGGACGACCATTGTTCTTATGTAATAGAACACCTGTTACAATCGAGGGATCAATTGTTTTCAAATATACCACTAACACCAGATCAGAAGAATCAACTTTCCTAAGCACACCATCTGGAATACGAGAAATGGTTGGAAACATATTCAGATTATCTTCCACTGTCTTCGAAAAGTGAAACAAAGAAAATGCAGCTTTTTCTTTATCCTCAGGGACTTCAATACGTTCCTTCTCATAGGCATACTGTATGATCAAACTCCAATAGTGAGCACAGGAGATTGCATCCACCATGTTCGTGTTGCTAATACCTTTTACAAACTCTTCCCACAAATGGGTTGTATAATCAACAGGAAGATCATAATAGATGCCCGCCACCAAGGCATAATTTTCCAACTTTGCCCTATCTAATCCAACGCTAAGTCCAAAAAAGCATCAAAGATAAATTCTAAAACAAAAATTCCATAAACATGGTAAACAAGATTTCTTGAAATCACTTATATTGGTAAGAACCGGTTGATAACCCATCTCATTGAGCATATGGAGAACTTGTTCATTCGAAACCGCATAATAAGAGTCAGCAGTAGGAAGTTCCAAGATCTGAGCAAACAACTTCTTAGTGAGTTTGAACTTCTTATCGTTGATCATCTGAAACGTAATCACTTTTATTGTCTTGCGGTACATCGTAGTTAAACCAGCAAGAGATAACCATGAAATTGGTACATCAAAGGAAGAAAACATGGTCGTTGATAGAACCGAATGTTTCAAAGAAACAATGAGCCTTTGCAAACCTTCTAAATATTTATTAATATTAACCTGAACTTGGATATTAGTGCTCTGAATCTTCATAATGGGTTGAGAAGTAATGTCATCAGTTGTCTAAGATGGATCAACATTAGCATGTGTAGCCGCCATTGTTATGCTTTGAGAGTTTGAAGAAGAAGACAGAGTATAATTTGGGGATAATCTGAATGCGTAAAGTTGAAATAAAACCCCCAAAACCTCTTTTATATGTAAACCCAATTTGAATTTGAAGCAGTTTTGCATTAAATGCAGTTTACATGGCTCCTTAAAAACTAGACTAGTAGCCATAAAAATAGCCACATTTGAAAAGGTGATGTGCTTTTTTTCCTTAAAAACCACATAGGAACCAGAACATCACATCCAACAGACTTTTCACATGCCCTAATGGAATAAGAACTGTCAGTAACCTTCAGCATGGAGGTTGGACTCTTTTACTTTTGGGTTGAAAAGCGAAATCATGTGCCAAACTTGCGAAATCATCAGCCTGAATTGGTATTATGTCAAACCCCAAAACCAAGAACGGCGGAAACGTTCTAGGGCGGTGGACGTCATGTAAAATATCACAACATAGTATAATACTAAAAAAGTAAACAACATCAACCATTGCATTAAATATATAATTTCAATACAAGTGTGTTCTGTAGTAGATAAGACACCAAAACATAAATCAAAATATAAGATGAGTCTTGAATGCACTTCATCTTCTCAAAAGATGGCATTGGTACCTGTCTATTGATGACCTGAGAATACAAGGTATTTTGAAAGAGTTTATCAGCATTAAAGCTGGTGACTTCATAAGTATTTAGTGTCTATGTTTGTATCAAAATGTTTGAACCGTTGTTTGAAGTACGAGTTTGTAAACGTTTGTAGTAAAAGTATGTGAATGTTTGTAAGTGTTTGTAAAAGTTTGTAACTCCTAGAAAATCCTATATTTTCTAATAAAAGTAGCCTTCTACCAAGGCACGACTGTTTTGTATGTTTGTTTCTTGTAAAAGTGTGTAATTTTCCCAAGTGTAACTATCATTATCTAAATATAGTTTGTACATTAATGTTTAAGTGAAATGATCACCAAATAAATGTAAAGGGTTAATTAATGTAGTACCGTAGTGTTGTATTATAGGAACTACTGTGAACTACTGTTGTACTAACTATCTTAAATCGGATTAATATCAAGGTATTATGTGATTAATTGTACCATACTATCGACTGGAAAACACGACAATGTAAGTCGTCAAAAGGTATGACATTTGGTGCTCGTAGACCTGCAGGTCCGGCTGTAGCTAGCAACAAGGTGTAGGATAGTCTATCCAATATATATCTATACACAAACTCACGCTCTCCCTCCAGAAGATTCTGGTTACAACTCGGGCCATGACAATGAAGGCATACTCCGATACAGTGGATCACATTTATGTTAATGTATTCTTGTATATGTAATGTATTGTTACTCATCATAGTATCCTTGTATATGTTCTCATCATAGTATAGTTGTATATGTTCTCATCATAGTATAGTTGTATATGTTCTCATAATAATAAGTAATGACTCATGAATGAACTGACTCTTATATGCTTCATTGAACTAGAAGTAGTAAGTAGTATAAATCTAAACTGTACCTATCATAGTTTATTAGAAAACTTGTTTGTATGATTGAATGTACTGAACTAAGATAACAGTCTTTGTATCTATACATATATACATACTATATAACTAAGGATTCAACGACACTCGGACAAACAACTGGGTACTTTAAGACCACAACCAAACAAGGACAGGAAGTAAAGTGGGTTATCTCTCCTAAGTCCTTCAAACCTTATTTATATAACTATATATGTAGTAGACATGGTTTTAACAATATATAAGTTTGAAAAACTATAAAAGAAAGGTTTAGTATACAAAAGTGAATTTGATAAAGAGTTTGATATGTAAAATAGTTTGACAAACAGTTTGAAGTCATTTGTTTGGGAAAACAGTTTAAAGTATGAAAAATCCATTTGTATGCTAGTTATTAATCACATGTGATTGATCTAATAACTAACATGGTTCAACTTGTATCCCCCCATAAAGCATTTAAAAACATTTAAAAGCATTTCAAAGGTTAATTAAGGGGTATGAACTCACCTGTAGTGAGTGGTTTGTTCGGAAGTGTCGGAAGTGTTGGAAAAGGTGTTAGTGTCAAGTAAAGACTTGAACACACACCCACAATGATCCTAGTTATTATATAATAAACATATATGTATCTAATTAGTCAATCAACAACTAATTAGTCAAGTTAAGACACCCTAGGTCATGGAAACACTTTGATTCAAGTGCTATAGGTACCCACAGGGTTGCATCTAAGGGTTGTATGGCATGGCATTGGAGTTTATGGCCCAAGGACCACTCCTTATCGAGTTTACGGCCCATGACCATTTCCCCATGAGTTTATGGCCGTAAACTCATGGTACTAAGTGCCATATTGTGTTTTGAGGTCTTACAAGTCATGATTTCACATCCAATGATCAAGTCCAAGCCTTAAGAAAGCATTAGGGGAACATTAAGACCACCTTGTGGAGTTTACAGCCAAGGGACCATATTCTTATATTTTCATGGCCGTAAACTCTCTTAGGGACATGTTTTGGTTGTTGTTTAAGGTATTAAACACTTCTAGGAAGGATGAAGGTTCGCATCTAAGGCTTAGGAAGGGACTAAGGTCCATTTTACCACCTTAAAAGGGGTTTACGGCCCAAGAACATCCTTGGCTGTAAACTCCTTTGTTATTATATTATTTGATGGTTTTCAAGTGTTATCAAGTTCATATTAATCACACAAGAAGCTAGGGAAAGTTTACTTACAAGATAGAGGCTTGATTTGGTGTTTAATGTCCAAGAACACTAGTGTGTGTTCTTGGTGTTTTGAAGAACACTTGAAGATCTAGCTTAAAATCAAATATGAATGGATGAAATGATGTATAACAACTAGATGTTAGGTTATAACAACAAATCAAGTTGAGAAAGACTTACGTTTTCAGAGGATCGGGTGAAGAAAGAGATGATAGTTGAGAGAGAATGGGGACTATACTTGAGGGTAGAAGTGAGAAATGAGGAGTTTGGGGAGTAAACTCATGTCTAAGCCATGAGTTCATGGACACAAGGGAGTTTACGTCCGAAACTCTAAAAGTTTGGCCATGAACTCCTTACTAGGGTGCATTTGGTGGGTTTGCTACTTCAAGACTCGAGACGGTACTTCCTTTCCTTCGTTCGTTTAAAGAATAAACACAAAAAACACTCAATTGGACTTTTAAATTGTCTAAAAATTATTAGAAATGTAATTGACTTTTAATTGAAGTGATTGACTTTAGAGTTTATCCGAATGAAAATTTCGGGTTGTCACATCATCCCCCCGTTAAAAAGAATTTCATCTCGAAATTAGAGTTTAAGCAAAAAAAAAAATAGTTACAAATAACTAAGATAATAGATGAGGATATTTCAATTTCATTTGATCCTCGCGCTCCCATGTGAATTCTAGTCCTCGCTTGGCATTCCAGTGAACCTTCACTATTGGGATGCGGCTTTGTTTCTTCTGCTTGACCTCACGGTTCATGATCTCTATAGTTTCTTCAACGAAGTGGAGGCTCTCGTTGATCTTGATCTCGTCGAGTGGGATTACAAGAGCCTCATCGAACAGACACTTTTTCAAGTTTGAGATGTGGAATGTAGAATGTACGTTGCTAAGTTTGTTGGATAGATTGAGTTTGTAAGCTACAGGGCCGATTCTACCTTGGATTGAGCTTCCCACGCTTTCCGAAGCGTATCAAGCCCTTCCAGGGTGAGGCTTTCAAAAGGACTCGGTCTCCCACCTGGAATTCCAAAGGTTTCCTTCACTTTTCAGTGTAGATTTTCTGTCGGTCTCTAGAGGCTTTCAATCGTTCACGAATCTGAACGATCTTCTCCGTCGTTTCTTGAAAAGATTTCCGGACCTGTGAGAGTGCTGTCAGGATCTCATCGTTTACCTAACTGGGTGTCACCCACCTCAGCCCAGCACAAAGGGGATCTGCACTTTCGGCCATAGAGGGCTTCGAATGTAGTAGCCTTGATGCTCGTGTGATAACTGTTATTGTAGGAGAATTCGACAAGGGGTAAGTGAGTATCCCATGCCTTCCCAAAGTCGATCACACAGGCTCTCAACAT